CAACAGCCACGCTACTGATGCGTGACATGCCACTCCAAACACCGCAGCTGTGTGGGTTTGGTCACTAGGACGAGTACCGGGAGAGGTGCTTAGGAAGGGAGGAGGCTTGTTTCAGCCGATGTTTTGGAGGTTCACAGTCCAAGATTGGTGAGACTGGCACAGGTGCATGGGAGGGTCACATAGCAAGACAGGAAGCAGTGAGACACACAGTGCCCTCGTCGTCCAAATCTATGTGGCCTCTCATAAGGACACCGTGATTTCATCATGGGGACCCCGGCCCAGCCCAATCCAATCAGCTCCGCAAGACCCCGGCGTCAGACGCACAGTTAGGCCACATCTCCATCCTTGACCCATTAAGCATTAACGTAAGACAATGGAGACCAAGTCTTTAAGACAAGAGCCTCTGGGGGACACTTGGCATTGACGATGCCACAGGACCCATCGTGGGGGCTCACAAGAACCAGAACGACTCCCAGGCTGTGGGTAGGCGGGTTGCCGGGGGTTTGCCTGGGGCTGGGCTGGCTGGATGGTTCTGCCCCAGCTGGGTGTTGCTTGGAGTTGGCCCCAGCATGCAGGTTGGGCTCCTTTCTCTTTCGCGTTTTTGTTTCTGGGGTCCAGAGATGGTCTTCTCTTGGTGGCTCACAGAACACAATAAGCCGGAGCAAGCCCCTGCCAGTGTCCTCTCTGGCCTCAGCCAAGTCTCATGGCCAAGTCCAAGATTAACAGGGTGGAGAACCACACACCACCCGCATGGGAGGCGCAGGGAAGGGGGCCCTGGGTGAGCAGCCATCCCCCCATCCCAGGCGTGCTGTCCTGTCCCTCCTCCGGTAGCTCCGGGCCTTTGCCTGTGCTGTTTCCCTGGCCAGGAGTCTGCGTCTCCTTTTCCTTTTCCTTCCGCACCCTGCGTCTCAGCTGGGGCGTCACCGGCCTCACAGCGCTGAGTGAATCCTCCACGTTGCAATCCCATCTTGCCCTCTGTTTCCAGGCTCTTCCATTGCCTTGGACATAACCCATCGGCACAGGCGCCTCTTCCCTTCCCTGCCCGGCCCCGCAGCTCAGACTCCCCTGCAGCTGGAACTCGGGATAAATGCAGCACCCCCAGGAGGGTGCGCTTGCAGGTGTTTTGGGCGGTGGGCGCCAGCTGTCTGGGGCCTTTGCTGGCTGAGTTAGCTGTGAGTCTCCGGGCTCCTCTGCTAGCATCCCAGGCCTTGCAAAAGCGCGGGGACTCCATGGTGACTCCATGGTCATCGATGGATCACATTCTCGTTGTCTCTCTGCCACCTCCTCGCGCACGGCGGCATCGGGGTGGTGGCTCCCATCCTGGGCGGCAGGGCTTGCAAGTAGCCCCCCGCACGGGCAAGGCCTGCGTTGATCGGAGTCCATCTCGGAGGCTAAGCCGAGACCCCGCTTCTTCAGCCCTCTGGTGGCTTCGCAAACGCACAATCCCCCTTTCCTTGTGAAAACCCAGCCCTGCGTCCCTGACGGACGCCGGCTCTAATTACTCAAATGTCACTTTCCCGACAAGACTGCAAGCATCGCCCTGCTGGGGACCAAATGAGCTCTGTTCCCCCTGCAGCACCTCCACAGAGCCCCACGCACACTAGGGGCACAGTCAACACGGGCGTCTTCCTAAAGCTCATGGAAAATGCACTTGATGAGAAACGACACGTGCATCTCACAGACTCGTTTGCACTGAAATGACCTTGTGCTTTCACTCCCCTTTCCACGAACTTTCAGAGCCTGCTCACTTTGGAGGGTTGAAGTCATGAGCCCAGGGACTGCCGCCTATAATTCTTTTTTTTAATTTTTAAAAATTTATTTGAGGGTGGGCCAGCATTATGGTACAGCAGGTTAAGCCTCCACTTGTGGCATCAGCATCCCACATGGACGCCAGTTCAAGTCCCAGCTGCTCCACTTCCCATCCAGCTCTCTGCTATGGCCTGAGTGCTTGGGCCCTGCCATCCTCATGGGAGACCCGGATGCGGTTCTAGGCTCCTGGCTTCAGCTTGGCCCAGCCCTGGACATTGCAGCAGGTAGAGGAATAAAACCAGAGAGTGGAAGCTCTCCTCCCTCCCTCTCTCTCTCTCCCTCTCTCTCTCTCTCTAGCTCTCTGTAACTGCTTTTTAAATATATAAAGAAATGTTTAAACAGATTTTATGTGAGGAACCCATCTTGTGGTGCAGCAGGTTAAGCTGCCACTCCTGGTGCCAGCGTCCCACATGGGAGCGCTGGTTTAAGTCCCAGCAGCTCCGCTTCCAATGCAGCTCCCTGCTAATGCGCCTGGGACAGCAGTGGAGGACAGCCCAAGTCCCTGGGCCCTGTGCCCACGTGGGAGACCTGGACAGAGCTCCAGGCTTCTGCTTCAGTCTGACCCAGCCCCGGCTCTTGTGGCCATTTGAGAAAATAGATGCAGAATCTCTGTTTCTCTCTCGCTCTCGCTCTCGCTCTGCCTTTCAAATACAGAAGTAAAACTTTCAAAATAAAAATGTATTTGAGAGAGAGAGAAAAGAGATGGCATCCATCCACTGGTTCCCTCCCCAAATGCCCATAACAACTGGGACCAAGCCAGGAGCTCAGCTCCCAAGCCAGGTCTCCTGTGTGGAGAACAGGAACCCCAGTACTTGAGCAGCAGTGTTGTCTCCCCGAAAGCTGGAGTCAGGAGTCAGAGCCGAGAGGACACCCGGCATCTCAGCTGCCAGTCAAAGTGCCCGCCCCGCCCCTGCCGTCTTTACCTTGGCTGCCGAATGCCACACCTGTATAGAAACGACAGCCCGAGCAGAGTGCCCCAAGTGCCCCGGAGTTCACCCTCCTCCAAATACCCCAGAGGAAGAAAATCGCAAACTTTGTCTCGCCACACTAAAGCCCACGGAGGTGTCGTGGGGTCGCCGGGCCTCTTCCAGCAGACGGAAAGCAGACCCAGGGATGGGTTGTGACCCAGCCGGAATGAAGGTGCAAGGCCTCACTCTGCCACTTACAAGCTGTGCTGCTTCCAGACGTTAATTAACTTCTCTGAACTCCGTTATTTTCACCTGCTCAGTGGGGCAACTCTGATCCGCCTTGCAGAGCTGAGTAGGTGATACCCAATGGGTGCTTTATCATTGGTTGCTTTGTATCACCAAGCCTGAAGCCCAAGGCGCAACAGTGATTCCCCTGGGGTCTCCCATTTCAGGTTGGTGGGGGCCTTGGGGGCCTGTGGGGCTACCTGGACTGCAGCGCCCGATTGCCCCGTGAAGATGAGCCTGTGCTGGGAGCAGCGCCCAAGCCTCCTGGGTGGAGATGAGTTCCCGGGGCCCTCGGAGTTCCCAACACACACCCGTGCTTTGGAGGTGCGGGCACAGTTCAAATCCAGGTGGTGGGGTTGCTGGTGTGGTCCTGGGACGGACACAGGACAGGACGGCAGGTGAGAATCGCCCTCCACCCTCAACTTCCCCGGATGGCAAAGGGGTCTTTGCCGGGGGGGGCTGCTCTCCTGTCTCCACCTCCAGCCAGCCTCCCCCGACCCCGCATCCACAGCCCAGGGTGGGAGACGGGACAGAGAGAAGAGGAGAAAATGGGCAGAGATTTAGCCAGAACGACTCTCGGAGGGCACTTCAAAAAGCCATGGGAAAACAGAATGAAAAGATTCGTTTCTTCTTGTGCAAAAGAATTGTTTGAAATCCCTGTATAGTTTTTTTTCTATAATACATGTTTTCCATGAACTTTTTGAAGACCCCTCATAGGCATGGACTTCAAAATGTTTTGCACCAAAAGAAACTCATCTTTTCATTCCGTTTCCCATGAACCTTGAAGAGGGCTCTCCACGGCGCGGCGCGGCACGATCCAGTCGGGAGGAGGGGGAGAAGGAGAGGGACTCGGGCTTGGGTTTGGAGAGAGTGGGGGGGTGGGGCAGAGCCGAAGCTTGGGAACACCTGACACCCCGCCCCCACCCTGCCTTTCCCATTCTGATGTTTCTGCCCCCCAGACCTGTGCAGGAGCACAGGCCCCAGAGGACAAGGACGCAGCAACTCGCCGTGAGCTCAGAGGCTGCGGGAAGGGAGGAAGCCCTGGGCCCGCTGCTGCAGGCGACACTCGGGGTGATCCGGAGCTCGGGCTGTTCCAGGGGAAGGCAGAGACCTGGAAGCTGTGGCTACTGCACCCGAGCCGCCTAGAGGGGTCGCTCCGCCTGCAGGGAGCCCCTCCCTCTCACCCACGGCATCCCAGGCAGAAGTGCTAGGTGTTTGTTTTAAGATTTATTTATTGGGAGCCGGCACCGCGGCTCACTAGGCTAATCCTCCGCCTTGCGGCGCCGGCACACCGGGTTCTAGTCCCGGTCGGGGCGCCGGATTCTGTCCCGGTTGCCCCTCTTCCAGGCCAGCTCTCTGCTGTGGCCAGGGAGTGCAGTGGAGGATGGCCCAAGTGCTTGGGCCCTGCACCCCATGGGAGACCAGGAGAAGCACCTGGCTCCTGGCTCCTGCCATCGGATCAGCGCGGTGTGCCGGCTGCAGCGCGCTGGCCGCGGCGGCCATTGGAGGGTGAACCAACGGCAAAGGAAGACCTTTCTCTCTGTCTCTCTCTCTCACTGTCCACTCTGCCTGTCAAAAAAAAAAAAAAAAGATTTATTTATTGGGGCCAGCACTGTGGCTTAAAGGGTAAAGCCACTGCCTGCAGTGTGGGCATCCCATGTGGGCACCGGTTCTAGTCTTGGATGCTCCTCTTCCAATCTTTGCACCTGGGAAAGCAGCTGAAGATGTGCTTGGGCCCCTGCCCCCATGTGGGAGATCCAGAGGAAGCTCTTGGCTCCTGGCTTCGAACCAGCCCAGCTCGGACCACTGCAGCCATTTGGGGAGTAAACCAGCGGATGGAAGACCTCTCTCTCGCTCTCGCTCTCCCTCTCCCTCTCCCTCTACCTCTACCTCTGCCTGTAACTCTGCCTTTCAAATAAATAAAATAAATCTTTAAAAAAAGATGTATTTATTTACTTGAAAGGCCAAGTTACAAAGAGGGCGGGGGGGGGCGGGAGATCCTCTATCTACTAGTTCACTCTCCAAATGGTTGCAATGGCCAGGGCTGGACTAGGCCAAAGCCAGAAGTCGGGAACACCATCCAGTCTCCCACATGGGTGCAGGGCCCCAAGCACTTGGGCCATCTTCTACTGCTTCCCCAGGTGCATCCGCAGGGAGCTGGATTGGAAATGGAGCAGCTGGGACTCAAACTGGCACCCATATGGGATGCCGGAGTCACAGGCTGTGCTGTAGAGCTGGCTTGATCCACCTCCCAAGGTTCGTGATCCATCTCCCTAGGCCTGTGGGCAGCCCCTCCTGCCGTGTGAGGTCTACCTGGCCCCACCCAAGGCCATGGCAGAGGCAGGAGGCCTTCAGGATGGACGGGGGCGATGGTGGAGCAGGGCACTGGGAGTGAGAGGACCTGGCTTCACGTCCCAGCTGTGCCACTTGGAGCTGAGTGTGGAGAATGTTCCCCAGCCTCCCCAGCACTCAGTTTCTGTTACTGAGAAATGGGCGTAGCAACGTGTGCCTCGCAGGATTGCCCCGTGGGGAGCAGGAGGGTGTCTGCAAAGGCTTGGAACAGGGGCTACACACAGAGCCCCTCAGCCCAAGATGGCCACTATTGCAGCTTGAGCGCCCCCATTCTGTCCTGTCCCACATACCCCGGGGCCACGCCCGGGAAATACCCCACTGCCAGCCTCCAGGCCCCCCAACCTTTCACCATTTCCATGACACCCTGGGTTTGGGGAGCTAATTTTAATGAGGGAGATTGATTAAAGCCAAATTATTACCTTCCCTTTGTGTCCCTTTTGTCATTTAGAAATGGAAACAAAAGACATTCTTGAGCTCAAGTCAAACATTTACCAAATTAATTCTCCTCCAGAAATTGTTTGAGATTTCAAGGGCCGGTGGCTTTGCTTTTCCCTCTCCTTCCCTTCCCCTCCACCCTTAACTATACTACATCAGAAAGTAATTGCCTGATTAAGGGACGCGCAGCTCGGAGAGTGACACATTTTTTAAAATTAGAACGCGCTGCCGACCGACACAGTTACACAACTGGTTTTCTCTTCCCCAAACAACTTGATTCTCAAGGAGAAATGACAGGAGCGACAAGGGCATGCGAGAAAACCAAGACGCAGGGGGCAGGCGGGCACGCTGTGTGGAGCGTGTCTGTGCGTCTTCTTCGTGACCCAGTTCTGCCCCATTTCCCCAGGACGCCCCCCCCACTCCCGTCTGGTCTGGGGGGGGGCGGCAGCTGCGCTCCTCCCCACCTTCGCTCCAGCAAACCCACTCCCAAGAAGACTGAGAGTCTGGATTCTTGTGAAGACATCAATTGGAAGCGGAGGCTCCGGGAACCGTGCCCCAGGCCCCTGCCTCCGGCATCATCCAGAGTGCCTCTGGTTTGGAAGCTGAGGTTAACAAACAAGTACGTGACAATGACAACGGGGAGGAGGACCTGGGAGGGCCCAGGGGACAGGAAACCTCACCTCCTGGCGCTGTCCCTGCGCTGAGGCTCCAGCCATGCTGGCTGTGCCCCCTTGCCACTTCAGGCTCACTTCCCAGGATGCTCTTCGCCTAGACCTGGGGGAGCTGCCTCCTCACGACTCCTCCTAGACCCTTCTCTGACCTCCAGGCTGAAGGAGCAGCCTCCACAGGCCAGCGGCTCCCTCCCGCTCCCCCTCTCACTCTGTTCACAGCACTGGGTGCGACCTGACAGCTCCTTTTGTGTACATTTGTTTCTGTGTTTATTGTCAGTGAGTCTCAAGGCTGGACTTCCATGCCTTGTTTTCTGTCTTTCCAATGCAGAAAACACAGCTGGCCTGTTACTGGCCTATAGTAATGGTTTGATGGGGAAAGACTAGACAAGCAGATGCATGGATGGGCGGATGGACAGATGGACAGATGGGTGGATAGATGGATGGGTAGATAGCAGATGAATGGATGGGTGGACGGACAGGTGGATGGGTGGATGCAAGGTGAATGGAGGCACTGGCTTATCTATTCCTCCATTAAGGACACTCACCCTCTTCTCAGGAGTCTTCAAGCTGTTCCTGACCCAGGCTGCCTGCAAGAAGATGAACAAGAGCGAGCAGATGGAGCCCCAGGAGCTGTGAGTGCTAATCTTGCCCTAGTTCATGGCTCAGTGACCACCCCTTGGGGCATGAAATGTGAAGGATTTGGTCAGACGGTGAAATCCCAACTCCGTCTACATGGGAGTCAATAAATTCTAGGAAGCCGGTCACAGAACGTGCGAAACATCTAGAACAGGCAATGTTCTATAAACAGAAAGCGGCAGGGCAGGAGGGGCTGAGGGAGGGGCACCGCTAATGGTGCAGAGCTTCCTTCCGGGTGAGATGCTCTCACAGATTGATGATGGTTTCTCAGATTTGCGAGCATATGAAAGACCTTTGAGGCGAGGGATAAAAAGTGAGTTGGACTGAAGAACCTAGAAATGGATGGTCAGGGTTGAGCCCATGGGAACTGCGCCCCGTAGGCAGCTACGTCTGTGTCACCCATGTGAGCCTCAAGGAGTCCTTTGGAAACAAGAGGGGTGTCAGGGTCCGGAGCAGGGTCCCAGGTGCTCTGGCCACAGGGAGCTTGCAGAAGACAGGCGCAAGCGTTTCCCTCCTCTGGCCTCCTCCTCAAGGCCACCATCTCTCCCTGTGCTTCATCCTGGACACCGACCTGCAATGCCCTTTGGGGGAGAAGCTGTCCCTTTGGGGGGAGAATCTGTCTCTTTGGGGGGAGAATCTGTCTCTTTGGGGGAGAATCTGTCCATTTGGGGGAGAATCTGTCCCTTTGGGGGAGAATCTGTCTCTTTGGGGGAGAATCTGTCTCTTTTTGGGCCAAAGGCAAACCCAGCTTCTCACCGGGAGGATGGGGTCTGTCTCAGGGCGCCTGGCTGCATCCACACCCTGCTACAATTGTGTCTTGCGAAGTCCTCTCCAGGTCGGCTCTGCCCTGGGCCCTTTGCGCGTGTCTCGGCAGTAACACAGGAGTTGCAGTCTCATTCTACAGCAGAGGCAAAGCTTGGGTAAGTCATTCGCTCCCATTCACAGGAGCAGAGGCAGAGCCGGGCTGGAACCCAGCACTCTGGGCCCAGGGTCTGACACCTGCAGCCTTCACCCAGTGAGCTCAGGGCTGGCTCTCTCTGCCCCACCTCCCACCCCAGGGTGGAGCACTGGGAGCACTGGGAGGGCTTTCTCATCACTTCTCAGCCATTGCACCACAAGGTAACACGAGCAGCCCAGGGAAGGGGACCAGAGCCCCAGGCCCCGGCACAGGCTGCCCTGGGGTCCTGCCTGACCAAATGACCATGGCCATGACTATCACTGAGGGCCACTCTTGCCGGGCACCAAGGATGAGCCCACATGAGCCTTACAGCCAGGAAGGGAGGCTCTACCCGCTCCACATTCCAGAGACAAGACCTGGCATGAGGAGGCGTGCCCCACTCTAAGTCCACTCCCCCCGTTCCCACACAGCCCCACGCTAAGTCCACTCCCCCTCTCCCCTGCTCCCACACAGCCCCATGCTAAGTCCACTCCCCCTCCCATGTTCCCACACAGCCCCACACTAAGTCCACTCCCCCCTGTTCCCACACAGCTCCACTCTAAGTCCACTCCCCCCTGTTCCCACACAGCCCCACTCGAAGTCCACTTCCCCTCCCCTGTTCCCACACAGCCCCACTCGAAGTCCACTCCCCCTCCCCCCTGTTCCCACACAGCCCCACTCTCAGTCCACTCCCCCTCCCCCCATTGTTCCCACACAGCCCCACTTGAAGTCCCCTTCCCCCACCCTCTGTTCCCACACTGCCTCACCTGCTCACTCACCCACTGGGGCCCTTTGCAAGTCACTCATCTCTCAGAGTGTGCCTCAGCCATAAACTGGAGCCATAAACTGGACCCCTCCTCCCCACTAGTAACGATACCTCACCCCAACCCCTAACAAGCTGTTATGAGGATTAAATGGGAATGACATGAGATACGATATAAATTAACTTTGTGTACATTGTATACGCTGTAAATGCTTACACTCCACTACAGCATAGTAGAATAAAATAGAATGTTCTAGCACCCTCCAGAACAGAAACTCCCTGCTCCACTGAAGTGCCGCCCAGCCAGCAGCAGCACGCAAGGAGACTGACGGGGGACCATGTGGATGAGCTCATGAAGAGGAGCTGGCACCCAGGAGACAGCTGTCACTGCTCGAAGCCTAACCTTCCTGCAGGGAAGGGGCAGGAAGGGGTGTGCGCGGGTAACAGGGTTCTTGACATCGGTCTAATTCTGACACACAGCCATAACTGTTGGCACTGGTGACAGCCTCTGTCAGCCCCGTCAGGGATTGCGTCGGCTTCCCTGGGAACCTTTCACCACGTCCTCAGGCACTCGGTCAGCTCCACGCAGGCACTAAGAAGCTGAAGGGCTCAGCCCAGCTTGCGACGTCTGCCCCAGGTCACCCGGCTGGGACATCATGGAGGGTGGGGGACGGTCTGCGACGGCCGTCCCCATCAACTGGACCAGGCTCTGGGCCAGGCACAGGTGGAGGGTTCCCTGTGACCCAGGTGGACGCCGCCGGAGCCTGGCGGAGCTGACCCTCTGGGCAGCGGCCAAGTTCACCCACACGAGCTGGGGACTCCCGGAGATGAGAGGCTCCGGCTGCTTCTCTCTCTGCTCCCCACCCAGGGTTACCCAGACACTGCGCCCCCAGGATGCAGGACTAAGAGGAGCCCCGCGGCTGGCTGGTTAACCAGAGGCTGATGGAGCACAGAGTACGTGGGACTGGGCAGCGGGTGAAGATCAGCGGTCTCTCCCTCAGGGCTCTGGAGGCAGGACATCCAGGGTCAGTGCCGGTGTCTAGCCAGGGCCTGCCTGTCACATCGTCCAGTGGCAGAAGTGGAAGCGCTGACTAGGCTAATCCTCCGCCTTGCAGCGCCAGCACACCGGGTTCTAGTCCTGGTTGGGGTGCCGGATCCTGTCCCGGTTGCCCCTCTTCCAGGCCAGCTCTCTGCTGTGGCCAGGGAGTGCAGTGGAGGATGGCCCAGGTGCTTGGGCCCTGCACCCCATGGGAGACCAGGAAAAGCACCTGGCTCCTGGCTCCTGCCATCGGATCAGCGCGGTGCGCCGGCCGCAGCGCGCCGGCCGCAGTGGGCATTGGGGCGTGAACCAACGGCAAAGAAAGAAGTGGAAGCACAAGAGGGCACGGGCCAGATTCGTGCTCTGAGAAGTCGCCACTTGCTGGGGAGCTCAGCCCCAGGATAGCGAAGCCCTTTCTGGGGTGGCAACATTGATGGTTCATGACAGCAGAGCCCCCCGCCTGGACCCAACCACCTCTCAGTACCATCACCTGGGGATCAAGTTTCCAACACAGGAAGCAGGGGGACACGTTCCAATCGCGGCAC